GATTTGGTCTTACATGATGAAAAATTTTAGTACAATGAATGAAAACTTTAATGTCAAAAGGAAGAATGCTTTAAAGAAAACATTTATAAAATAAATGATGGTATAAAATCCATAATATAGTCAGAAAAATATAGTTATCAGAACACTGGGACCTTTTCTTTCAATTGCATCTTTTAAGTACATGTGAATCAAATTTACATACAACTGCTATTTAGCGCCATTTCAGACTTGAGAAATGCAATGAAATGCCAGTAAATATATTTTCTATATTCAAAAATAAGTTTAGGAATTCAAAAGTGCTTGGAAAGTGTTGGCAATCCAACTGTTTACAAAGGTGGCTATAGCAAAGTATATTCTCTCTGCATAAACCCTATGTAATTCACAACTACCAACACTACTTCCTATTTAAAATAAAATCAAACACAGAAAAATACATTATCCTATTTTTTTGTACTATGGAATGCAAGATGAATTCTCATTTCCAAATCATGCTGGTATTTGGATATTTAATTAAGATTTATGTATAACTTTTAAAATGGCTGTTTCTTGCTAGACTGCTTTTCAGCTGTTAAAAATCATTTTATCATACTGAAAAACTTACATTATTTTTTTGCTATAAGTGGTATCAATTTCAGAGGGAATGAATTTTAAAAGGGAAATCAAATGTGACCTGAGCAATATTAGTTGATAGTAAAGGTAAAAGCAAATAATCTAATTGGTCACATTATGACAACTTACTATGAAACTAATATACTTAGTACATTCTCTAGAACTGTCCACATAAAATTAGTGCTTAATAAATACCTTTTGAAGAGTAGTTTCCATAATTAAACAACTAGAATGAAAGCAAAATAGTCATCCAAGGAAGCTCTATTGTTCAGGGTTTAGAAATGTGAATACAAATCAAACCTTAAGTTGGAAATTACCTACATATTTATTTCTAAGCATTTAAGCTAAAGTTTCTTGCTGATCAATAATTGAAATTTGCTAATATAATGTAAGTAAGCTTGGATTTTTGTACTCTAAAAATACTTTTCCTTTATATTTTTCTTCATATTTCAAAGAAACTCATGCCTATTATTAAGAAGTTACTATATCTTCAAATATAATTTCCTCATGTCTTAGCAACCAAATAGAATTTTAAGTGATCAAGCATTATCATTTTATTCAAATTATATGATGGACTTCATTATAAGACTAAAATCAGGAACAGTGCATTCATGAGTATAATCTATGTTGTGAATAATCACTACTAATGCCACTACATTCCTGCATAGGAAGGCAAATAGCACACTATTGATTCATTCTAATATCAGAAATCATTGATCTTGAGATACACGCCAAAAATGCCTGAATAAGCTTTAAAATGTACAGCACTGTTCTAAAGAATTTTAATTGCAATGGCCAATTTATACTTAATATGGCTTGCGTTCTTGTTGAAATAACATTGTGATAAATAGGATCTCTAGGTCTTGAAATCTAGACAGAGGATCTGGACACTTGACTCCATGAATTGTTTACATTCAACTTTTCTGTGCTTTTCTCTATCAATACAGTAGGAACAGGGGCAGAGGGAATAAAACTCCTTATGTTACATAGGTCATGTACTGTGAGAAACAAGAATGCAGATAAATATGGGCTTAACAACATCTATGGAAACAATTGCCAATCTCTGCCTCCCTTTACACCATTTCATCACAGAAGTTAAATGTGATTAAAAAGTTTGCAAGTTTTTAAGAGAAAATGTAGATTAAGAAGTAGAAAGGAAGGAACTGTGCAAAGCGTTTTAGATAATCTGACCTTGGGACATACTGTGTAAGTTCATTCCCCTTAAAATACTTTCCCTGATAATAACTGAATTTAAAATTATTCTCATTTGGTCAGATCGCTGGAAGCTCCAGCAACTAGAAATTTGATTGATTAATGGACATCTTCCTTGAAAAAATGCCAACTATCTATTAGACACTGACAGAAAAATGTGAATTAATTTAATGTGATAGCCTTCCTTTTACCTTTTACATGAAAAGAGCTGCTCTGAAGGATGGATATTCTGATATGGGGAACAGGAAGGGAAAGGTAGTAAGGCCCTTTTGATGTATAGAATCCTCTGGGGATAGCATAAACCTTAATGATGGAGTACTGCTAGGAGGTGCTCAAGTAGGATAGATAGCATGAGGGGGCTGGAAAGCTAGGAGAAAGATAATGTAGAGAATGCCAAAGATAAACTTTGCTCGGTTTAAAGCCTAAGTTTTCCAGTGGGTCTTAGGGCCAAGGTAAGCATTTCTTTTCCTTCTTTATACATGAAGGGCCTCTTACTGTCTGGAAAATACTATTAAATCTCCATGAATAAATTTCTGTGGGCAATACTATTTTAATACGTTGTTTCAATGGGGAGACATTATAAACACCAAACATCTGTTCTTAAGTTTGTGGGTTGCCTAAACATATGGAATCCCTTTGAGCTAACCAGAGGTGCTATAAAAAATGTTTTATTATGTTTAATTACCAATGGTATTAATACATTATAAAAATCAATGTTTAGGCATTCTTGTGTCTAACAAAATAGGCTTAAGTTTGATCTTCATGAAAGGACTTTAACCATTGCTTTTCCCTACAAAATCACTTTTGCCCAGCACTGCATTCTAATTTTCTTCCAAATAGTCTGAGTTTATTCATGGTAATATGTGCTTTAGGAAAATAGATTGTTAGTCTATTTGAGCAAACCTGGTTTTTTTTTCTCTTTGAGAAAAATAAGTTCAATATCATCTCACTTCCAGAACAATAATATCCTCAAACTGTGCTATCATTAAATACTACACAAAACCATGAACTAGAGAGAAAAACAATGCAAATAAATGTTCATGAATCTATGAAAAATCATGGTATTCTAAAGTCTTATCGAAAGGATTTTTTTTTTTTACTGGTTAAGCATTTATAGAAGCCCCATCAAAAAATATGTTCCACTCAAATTTGCATTTGTGGCTAATAGAGTTCTAGGCAAAATTGACATGATTGGGCATCCGTACCTGGGGTCCTTCTACAAAATGGTGGCATAGTTTAAAGCTTTCCCTTATAAAAAAGTTGCCCTCTACTACTATTATGCTAGCATATTTGAATTTTTCAGCAGAAAACGCTCACACAATTATTGAGTACATCTACTAGCATACCTGTGTCTGTTACACACTGTCAATCCTCATTGGTTGATAAGGAGTCATACTATTTATTGTTTTATTCTTATAGTGTTCCTTTCATGATAGGACTGTATGACATGATCCTTCTGAGCATGCTAAATGAAAATTAAGACTGTCTACTTTTTAAAGCTATTGATTATTGAAACCCTAAAGATTATTTTGTGATTATTTTAATTTTCCAATTTAACTTCCCCTAATTTTACTACTTAAAAGCATACATGGATATAGTATCTCTGTCCTGAAAAGCTCAACACCTCAGAGTTTGACATATCAATTCTGATAGGAAGAAGGTATAATAGCTAAACAAGATAATGACAGGAGGAAAATAAGTCATAATATATGGACACACATTTTTACATGCAAATGCTTATAGTAATAAAGCAAAATGAGGAAAAGAAAATGCCAATTTGGAACATAGAAAGCCATAAGACATGATACCAGTCTATTTCTAAGTATTTTTTTACATGTGGCATTAGATGTTCTTTAAGCTCTTTCAACTATATCAAAAAGACATCTCAAAATAAGAATACATACTTTATGTATCACATCCAAGAAACAGATCTTTGTGCATGGGGTATAGATCACTTACATTATAAAGAGAATATATATAGCTTCTTTTATTAAATACCAAAGTTACAAGTCTCCTAGCCTAAATTGTATACTTCAGCACTCAGTAATCAATTCTCTCTCTCTGAACTAAGGAAAATAAAACACACAGCAAACAGTACACCTAGCACTCACAAGTAGTTCACGAATATTGACTAAACAAAAATTGTGATATCCTCAGGTTTACATTCATGAATTCTGTCAGTAGTAGCAGTAGTAGTAATAGCATTTTCTTCAACAACACAAAACAATTCTTTAAAATTTCATCATTTAGAGAAAACAATACATATTACACAGTGGTTCTGAAATCATAAATTTAATAAGACCAATTTGGTCAGATCTTTTTTATAAATATGATTTTAAAATATGCTCAAATTTTACGTAGACCATGTATATTATTCCTATTTAAAATGTTAATCTTCTTGAAGTATAACTATCATGTAGCATTGTCTAAAGTTCACTGTAATACATTATACTATATCCTGTGTGCTAAGTGCACAAGTCTACTATAGTAACATTTCAACTATATTACCATAAGACTGAAGGTAGATTAATATGCTACACTGTAACTCAAAGCACATGGAAGTCATAAAAATAGTGTAATTCATTTATAAAGGGGACAGATAATAATTAAATCCAATTGGTTAACCTGAAATTCAGCTTACATAACATCAAGATAGTGTCAACACCATGTACTTTATTTTCAAAGGCTTAACTATGAACTATTTAGAATATTACACCTCCAATGTAAAGCCGTTGGCTAAAAAATTCTTCACCTGTACCACAATTTAATTAGATGTAAAATGTACAGAAGCCATATGGAAACCTGTATTTCTAGATGAGGCCACATATGGGTCACATACAGGTCTGTCTATACACATTATGTGTGATTTAATTCTTCTCTAAAAACTTTGGCACCAACCATAACAGAAATTAATATATTAGCACAAATGTATTTTGTTCTGGCACCAAAGTACTATGTCTACATTTTAGTAACTACAGACACTCAAATAAATGGAGTCCTTTGGTTGTGCACAACAAGCTTCTACAATACTTTTTTTGTTTTTGTTTGGAAAAAAAGAGAGCTTACTCTTCAGGATCTGAAATTAAAAAAAAAATACTGATATTGTTTGTCATTATATCGTCATATATGCATCTTGATTGTTGGTAATTTTTCCCAAAACCATTATTATATGAAACAAGAAATACTTTTAAAGTAACTTTATTTGAAATAAACTTAGAAGTTAGTGTGCAGAGTTGTTATGACCTTGTGGACACCAATTATATGCTTAAATGAACACTTGGACACTACTGCAAAACAACATAGTATGAATATTGTGAACTTGTGTATGTTTTTTTTTTTTTTTGAAAATCTCATTCCCCCTAAAAATGGGGACTTAAACAGAATATTCAAGTAATGTAGCAGAAAAAAGATGCCTTTGATATAAGATTAGGCAGAAAACCACACATTTAATTTTATCTTCATCCAGTTTGGTTGAGGAACACTACAAATCTTACAGGCCAGTTGATGTTCGCTTTTTCATGCTTCGTCGCTGAGCTAAGCTTGAAGCAGCAACAGGCTCTAGGAGTGGTGGAAAGGTCTTGTGAGTCAGGGCAGAATATGTGGCAACCACTGCTCCCTAAAATAATAAGAAAATGTCAAAAATTGAGTAACAATCTGTGGAGATAAGAAAAGAAAAAGTTCACATTATATCATAAGACATTTAACTAGAACAAAACTTTTCTGCTGGATAATAAGTCAATATACTTGATCTGTACATTGATGTTCCCTTGATGAATTAATATCTGGTTAATTATATATTTCTCATTTCAATAACTATTCTTCTTATAAAATTTGTTAAAACTTTAACATTTAAAATCTAGGTTCAATATCTGTGAATATAAGGAACTGGTATGAATGATTATAATTTAGAAACTAAGAGAAATCTTTTGTTTCCACATGACAATTGCATTTAGTCCACTCCTACCCCAGTTTCTCTCAAGAGCAAGACAAGTACAATCAAGAAATTTTTATTTTAGAGAGGTAGTAGGAAAGAAAGTTTAAAAAGAGTACATGGTTGTTATTAAAACAAAACAAAACAAAACAAAAATCTATCTTTAAAAATCTATCTTTAATCAGTGAACAGCATACGATGGCTTTACTAGGTATCAAATATTTAGAACACAGGTAAAAGGTTTCTTTTACCTTAACAACATGCACTGCATCATTTCTCTTTGGCTGATCATTTGGCAACTGGTCTCTGTGGATTATCCATGCGTGCTTTAATACTTGTTCAGTGGTGTACCTCTGATGTGGGTCCATATGAAGCATATGGGAAAGCAAATCCTAAATTAAAATGAAATGTGTGTGTATATGAAACATTTCATTTCACATTTTCTCAAAATATGAAATCATCAGTAGTTTCTCAATTTTTTTATTTGGCATACACTTAGGGGAAAAAAAACAACCTATAACCTGCACAGTTAACTGTCAAAAGAGAATCTTGAAATGTCTAGGGGATGGACACGCTTGAAGCTCTGACTTGGGGGTGGGGGGCAAGGGAAATATATGTAACCTAAACATTTATACCCCTATTATATGCTGAAAGAAAAATTTAAAAAGTATAAAATATATAGTAAATCCTTACTTGTCACTTTTAAATTGGGGATGCCAAATCTGTGGAACTCTCTCCTACTGAGGGAGAAGGAAATGTAAGTGGCAGGAGTTATCCTGGAATGTGCTAAATAGTCAGGAGGAGAAAGGATCTATTGAATTTTGCTACTAAGCTGGGCTCTAAAGTATAAGGTTATGTGTATACAGACATAACATAGAAGAGAGGGTTCCATGTTGTTAATCCACTCAACTGGGGGCTTGCTGTGTAACATACCAAAGAGAGCAAGACATAAATCCAACATTAGAAACTGGATTCTAGGATAGTCAGGTCAGAGCATCATAAGTTTTTCATCAGTGTAACTATGATATGCTTATTTTATCTCTGTTATAATAAAAAGTTGTGAATTTAACATAATCTCACAATAAAACACTATTTTAAATATATTAAATGATGTAATACATTTAAATAAGCTCTCTCTACCAAGTACCTTTTAGAGAAAGGAGAAGTAACTCTCCTTAACAATCATTTTCTAATGTAGAAACAAAATCACCATTTGTAAACTTTTCATCAATAGCAGCAGCAGTGAAATTAAAGACTCTAAGTAGTACTATCAGATTCTGAGGAATAACATAATTGGTTGAAACTATGCAAAGGAGCAGGGCAGCCATTCAAAAAATCTGGGAAAACAGTATATGTATGAAAATAAATGAAAAATATTAAAAAAATATAACAATGAATTATTTTGATACAACAAACCTAAATAGTAATTATAAAAATGATAAAGTTTCAACAGTCCAAGTATTTCTGTTTCTGGTCAAGATGGAATAAGAGAGACTAGATTTACCTGCCTACCTGAAAAAGCAAGAAAAACAAACAAAAACCATAAGTTACATGAAACAATAATTTTTAGGAGATCATATGTTAAGCAATGAAGGAGAGTGATTCGTAAGAGATGGGAAATGGTAAGCCTAGCATTATGATTGTTTCAGCTTACCACCTTGATAAAGTTTTCAGGCTGTTGTGCAGGTAAAGGAACCCAGGCAGAGCCTGGTGAATTTAAACTGAGGAGACAGAACTGAGAGTCACGGTAGACAAAGGCAGATAGAGATGGCAGGGCAGAGTACCAAAGGGATAAAAGGAGCAGAGAGAATTACAAAAATTTGTAAAGAGTCTCCCTCAAGTATTTAGCAGATTACTACTAATAAACACATGTGTGAGGAAACAACTGAAGGCCTGAGAAGAACTATCTGGAAGAATTGGAGGGAAATAAAAACTCATGCAGGGTGGGGAATATTGCCTGTTATGACCAGACAAAAAGGGGAAAACCTCATAATTCATGAAGTATTAGATAGAGTACTTAGTAGCATCTTTCTTGAATAGTGAGTAGTCTAAATACGTCTCTGGTCCCCCCCTAGCAAATCTTAAAAGGAAGACCCAAAAGTATCAAACTGTTTCCAGTAACTCAACTATTGCTAAGAATAAAAAGATCAAGAATGTTTAAAGCAGGGGTACCCTACATATGGTACGATGTATAACTATTTCATTATATATTACAATGTAATAATAATAGAAATAAAATACACAATAAATGTAATGCACTTGAATCATCCAGAAACAATCCCCCCACACACGGTCTGTGGAAAAACCATCTTCCATTAAAATGGCCCCTGGTGCCAAAAAGGCTGGGGACAACCGGTTTAAATGAAAAACAAGAAGAAACTTAAGAACAGGTGCCTATTCTGCAAAATTACTTCACAATATCCATCATGACAAACTGGGCTTCATCACAGAGATGAGGGGATGGTTCAACATACGCAAATCTATAAGTCTAATTCAAGACATAAATAGAAACAAAAACAAAGACCGTAAGATCCTCTCAATAGATGCAGAAAAAACATTCGACAAAATTCAGCACCCTTTTATGATAAGATGCATAACAAAATAGGCATAGGCAGGACTTACCTAAAAATCATACAAGGCATATATGACAAACCAACAGCCAACATCATACTGAACTGGGAAAAATTGAAAGCATTTACACTTAGAACTGCAACCAGACAAGGTTGCCCTCTATCACCACTTCTAGTCAACATAGTGCTGGGTGTCCTAGCCATAGCAATCAGACAAAAGAAGAAAAGCAAAAGGCATCCATATGGGGCAGAAAAGGTCAAACCATCGCTCTTTGCTGACTATATGATCGTATATCTAGAAAACCCCAAAGATTCTGCCATGAAACTACTGGAATTGATAAACAAATTCAGCAAAGTCTCAGGTTACAAAATCAAAGTACAGAAATTAGTAGCATTCCTATACACCAGGCATCCTCAAACTATGGCCTGCAGGCCACATGCGGCCCGCCAAGGACATTTATCAGGCCCACCGGGTATTTTTGCCACCTGCCTGTCCTGCTTAGCAGCCAACTCGTCCCAGGCTCACAGTGCACATGTGTGGAATGTGTGCCGCACTCTCCAATGGCCCTCCAACAGTCTCAGGGACAGTGAACTGGCCCCCTGTTTAAAAAGTTTGAGGACCCCTGCTATACGCCAACAACTATCAAAGTGGTAACCAAATCAAAAACTCAATACCCTTCACAATAGCAACACAGAAAATAAAATACCTGATAATATATTAACTAAGGAGGAGAAAGACCTCTACAAGGAAAACTATGAAAAACTGAGGAAGGAAATGGCATAGGATTTAAACAGGTGGAAAACCATATCATGCTGATGGGTTGGCAGAATCAACATTGTTAAAATGTCTATACTATCCAAAGTGATCTACAGATTCAATGCAATTCCTATTAAAATACCAACATAATTTTTGACAGATTTTGAAAAAATAATTCTATGCTTTGTATGGAACCAGAGAAGATGCCTTATAGCAAAAGCAGTCTTAGGTGAAAAGAAGAAATTGGGAGGTATCAATTTACCAGATTTCAAGCTATCCTACAAAGCTATAGTTACTAAAACAACATTGTACTGACACAAGAACAGAACCACAGAACAATGGAACAGAACTGAGAACCCAGATATAAAACCATCCTCATATAGCCATCTAACCTTTGACAAAGCAGACAAAAACATACACTGGGGAAAAGAATCCTTATTCAATATATGGTGCTGGGAAAGCTGGATAGCCACATTTGGACGACTGAAACAGGATCCACACCTCTCACAAAAATCAATTCATGATGGATGATAGACTTAAATCTAAGGCACAAAATCATAAGAATTCTACAAGAAAATGTTGGAAAAACTCTTTTAGACGTTGGCTAAGGCAAAGAATTTATGAAGAAGACCCCAAAGGCAATCACAGCAACAACTAAAATAAATAAATGGGATCTGATCAAATGAAAAACCTTCTCTACAGTCAAGGAAACTATCATGAGAGCAATCAGACAACCTACAGAATGGGAGAAAATATTTGCATGCTACACATCTGAGAAAGGGCTGATAACTATAATCTATATAGAACTCAGGAAAATCAGCAAGAAAAATTCAAACAACCCTATCAAAATGTGGGTAAAGGACATGAACAGAAAATTTTCAAAAGAAGATAGACTAACGGCCAACAAACATATGAAAAACTGCTCAACATCTCTAATTGTCAGGGAAAGGCAAATCAAAACCACAATGGGATATCATCACTCATCTCTAGCGAGAATGGCCTTTATCCAAAATTCCCCAAACAATAAATGTTGGCATGGATGCGGAGAGATAAGAACACTCATATACTGCTGGTGGGACTGAAAACTAGTACAACATCTGTAGAATGTACTATGGAGATATCTCAAAGAGCTAAAAGTAGAAATATCATTTGAACCAGCAATCCCATTACTGGGCATCTACTGAAAGGAAAAAATAAGACATTCTAAAAAAAAGACATCTCCACTAGAATGTTTATAGCAGCACAATTCACTATTGCAAAGATGTGGAAACAACCCAAGTGTCCATCAATACATGAGTGTGGATTGATAAAATGTGGTATATGTATACCATGGAGTTCTACACAGCCACAAGAAACAATGGTGATCTAGCACCTCTTGTATTACCCTGGATTGAGCTGGAGCATATTCTACTAAGTATCACAAGAATGGAAAAACAAGCACCACATGTACTCACCATCAAATTGGTATGAACAGACTAAATTGACCAACACTTAAGTGCACATATAGTAGTAACATTCATAGAGTTTTGGGCAGGTGGGGGTGGCGGAGAAGGGGATGGGTATATTCACACCTAATGGGAGCAGTGTGCACCATCTGGGGGATGGACATGCTTGAAGCTCTGACTCATGTGGGGCAAAGGCAACATATGTAACCTAAACATTTGTACCCCCATAATATGCTGAAAGAAAAACAAATAATAAATAAATAAGAACTCAATGTAAAATTAGTAGAAAATAAATATCAGAGAAGAAATAAAGAAAATAAAGACTAAAAAATAAAAAAAGATCAATGAAATAAAGAGTTGGTTTTCTTGAAGATGAAATTGACAATGTATAACTAGACTAAGAAAAAAAGAGAAAACACAGATAAATAAAATCCAATGAAAATGAAGACATTACAACTAATACCACTGAAATATAAAGAATCATAAGAGACTATTAGGAACAACTATATGGCAACAAATCGGAAAACTTGGAAGAAATGAATAAATTCATGGACATATAAAAATACTAAAATTGAGTCATAAAGAAACAGAAAATCTAAAAGGATCAATAATAAGTCAGA